GCTGAAAAGTCTGTGAAACTGTTATCTCCCACTAATCACCAGAAAACTGGAAGTGGTTCTTTGTGTCAAAGTGGTAGAGCACTAGCTTGAGCAAAGAACTTAGGGACAGCACTCAGGTCCTGGGTTCAAACCCCACGATTAAAAAAAAATAGAAGGCATTATTCTTCTGAGGAACCATAACTAAAAAGGACCCTATCCTACCTTTCTTATCCCATTCTCTCCCCAGAATTACCCAAGCACTTAGGCTGAAATGATGCTATGCAAGTTTTCCTTGGCCACCCCAGAGCTCCTGACTCATCGGGAAGCTGAAGGTGTAACTAGAACGTGCAAGAACCAACCAGCAGAAGAAAGGCCACAGCGGAACTCAGAGGAAGGTGATACACACCTGTAAATAGCAATTACTTGGGAGACAGATATAGGAGGATCACAGTTTGAGGTCAGCCTGCCAAAAAATTATTGAGACCCTCGCTCAAAAAAGCTGGGTGCAGGAAGTGGCGCTGTAGCTCAAGTGGCAGAGCGCTCGCCTTGAGCTGAAGAGCTGAGGGACAGCGCCCAGGCCCAGAGTTCAAGCCCCATGACCGACAAAAAAAAAAAAAAAGCTGGGTGCAGGCAAACATGCAGCAGCTGAAGAAGCACTGCTCCCAGCTCCTCCTCGTCCCCAGGAAGCCCTCGAGCCCCAAGAAGGGAGACAGCTCTGCTGAAGAACTCAATGTGGACCCCTGACAGGACCCTGACAGGGTCCCCGGACCCGTGATGCCCATCCAGGACATCTACAGAAAGGAGAAAGGCAGTCATCCCAGAGGAGGAGAAGAACATCAAGGCTTTTGCCAGTCTTCCCATAGCTCATGCCAATGCCTGGCTCTTCCACATCCAAACTAAGAGGGCCAAGGAAGCTGCAAAACTGTAATCAACCCACAGAACAACTACCAAAAAAAACTAGGTGAAGTAGTACATGCCTATAATCCCATCTACTCAAAAGGCAGAGGCAGCAGAGTGTTAGTATGACACCAACTCAAGCAAAAGCATGAAATTCTATCTGAAAAACAAACTAAAGCACAAATGACCAATGGTATGGCACTAGAAGCAGAAGGCTTAGCAATCACAAGCCCTGAGTTCAATCCCAGGCTCCATAAAAAATAAAATAAAATAATTTTTTAAAAAGATTTAAGGGAGGAAGTGGTGCTGTAGCTTATGTGGTAGAGAACTAGCCTTGAGCTGAAGAGCTGAGGGACAGCACTGAGGCCCAGAGTTCAAGGCCCATGACTGACAAAAAAAAAAAAAGAGAGAGGTTTAAGGGAGTTGGGAGTGTGGCTCAGTGGTAGAGTGCTCACCTAGCATGCCTGAAGCCCTGGGTTCAATTCCTCTGTACCACATACACAGAAAACACCAGAAATGGCACATTGGCTCAAGTGGTAGAGTGCTAGCCTTGAGCAAAAAGAAGCTCAGGGACAGTGTCCAGGCCCTGAGTTCAAGCCCCAGGACTGGCAGGGAAAAAAAAGATTTAAATATTATAACAACTCAAGATGGAGATGATGAAAGGAAGGGAAAGGCTCCACTCTCTGCTAACTTTGACAACATTTGGGCCTGCTCTTTGAAACAGAAACCCTATATTTTCATTGTGTTCTGTGTCCCAAAAAGTCTACCCAGCTCTGCCCAAGATTCATAGCAAATGGAGACCAGATGGTGTATTCCCACCCTGTCCACCCATAACTCCTTCCCCTCACATGATCTAAACGGCGCAGATGAAAATGTCTTCTACCTGCAGGTTTCATTCCCAACCCTGGTCCCTCCTGCTGTGTAGACTCAAGTAGTATCTTAACCTCTCAGGGTGAGTCAGCAACTGCTGGACTGTGACCCCAGCAAACTACGGTCAGTCTCAGAGCCCTGAGTTCTGGGCACACTGGGGATTAGAAGCGTGCTCTGGGGGAGGAGAGGGAAGAGCTAAATATACAAATGTGTGTAGAGACTTTACAATCCCACAGCCATCAGGAAAATCCTGAAGAGCACAGACTTTCAGTGGTGGGGGTCGTTGCTGGTGGTTTTAATCTGGACTTGGGCAGCCTCAGGGCACTGCATGGGGAAAGGACTCAAGAACTGCAGGAAAGTTGGTTCTTTAACTCTGGAGGCCAGATTCTACCCCACCAGATAACAGCCAGGGTCCAAACTGGGTTTGGCCTTCAAGACCCCAGTACTCTGTCCCATGAGTTCGACTCAAGGCTATGAGCAAGGCTGCTTTCACAAGGGCTCTGGGGCCCAGAAGAACAGCATCCACTGGCCTCCCAGGCACATTCAACTCTGGGCTCAGCACAGATCCTCAGCAGCCCTAACCCCAATACTGGAGCTCCCCCTCCACCCCATGATGCCCTCTCCAGGGTTAGGACCTCTTCTGTCACCTCCATGTGCCCTGCTGTTGGAGAAAGGGAAGCCCCGATGATCCCGGGGCCCACCTGAGGAGTGTGGGATTGCATTACAGTCCCTGCAAAACACCCACAGGCTGAGTAGACCTGTCAGAAGACTTTTATGTACAGATAAAGAAAAAAAATCGAACATATTTGAGACTAAAAAAAAAGTCAAGGTACAAAACAGAACTCTGCCTGCTCTATGTATGCTCCATGTGGGAATAAAACATAAACTATGGAAGTGGTGCTGTGGCTCAAGTGGTAGAGTGCTTGCCTTAAGCTGAAGAGTTGAGGGACAGTGCTCAAGCCCAGAGTTCAAGCCCAGTGACTGACAAAAGAAGGAAAAGAAGAGAAGAGGAAGAGGAGGAGGAGGAAGAAGAAGAAGAAGAAGAATGGGCTGGGAAGGTGGCTCAGTGATAGAGCGCGTGCCTTGCATGCCTGAGGCCCTGGGTTCAATTCCTCAGCACCACATAAGCAGAAAAAGAAGAAGAAGAAGAAGAAGAAGAGGAGGAGGAGGAGGAGGAGGAGGAGGAGGAGAAAGAAAACATAAACTAGAAACCAGCTGTAGGAATTTGCCAGCACCTGTCTGACATCTCTAGAAGGTTCTGCACAAACAGTGATTGCAAACAGGGAGAGGAATTGGAGGAACGGGTACCTGCGGTGCGAGGGGAATGGCACTGTAGTCACCTTTCCAAACCTGTCAACATCTGAACCACAAGAATACATTCATTCTCTACTCACAATAGGAGGAAAGTTTAAATGAATACACTGCCAACATGAGCTTCTGCTGGAGAGAAACAAAGGAGCTAATAATACAAATACAAGGCAAAGCTACCTAAAGTTCAGGCAAGAAGCAGCTTGCATGTGTGTCATTAAAACAAAGGAAAAGTTGGGTGTGGTAACACATGCCTGTAATCCCAGCACTTGGGAGGCTGAGACTGGAGAAGCTTGAGCTCAAGTCTACTCCATGAGACTCTGTCTTGGGCAAAAAATCAAGTTATCTCATCATATTTAGAAGAAGCCATGCTATTTATGCTATTTATGGTCAGATTAAATAGAGAAAATAAAACCATGCTTTCCTTTTGCCCTGAGAACCATACATCAAAAACGCTATGTCAACTGCCATGAAACCTCAATGAATGGGAAACTCTGGTGACAGAAACATCACGGGACCTGGGATGGCCTTGAGGTCAGGAACCTCTCGGAGGCAGCCCTGCCTCCAGCGACCCTGAAACATGGCAGCTACCCTGCACCCGGTCCTCCCCGTGTGAGCTCTTTGTGCCAAGCACAGCGGCGGCCCTCTCTAAGGATGGCCTCTATGGAGGCCATTAGTAGTGTCCTCATTCTCCAGATGAAAACCTGCAGCTCAGAGAGGTTGAGTCAGTAGTCGGTGTTTTGGCCTGAGAGCCCGCACCCTGGACCACTTTTTACCACTCACTTAAGAAGTGCAACCCCACAAACTGTAACACACAGTTTGTATGTGACCAGGAGAGGTGGTGTGAGTTGAAATATAGCTTACAATTACACCTTGGGAATTTGCCATTTTATTTATTTTGAGACAGGGGCTCCTATGTTGCCCAGGCTGGCCTTGAGCTTCCGCCCCGCCCCCAGGAGCGGGGAGAACAGGGGTGTACCCTCCCCCTGGGAGGATTTTTACAAGTTGTTTTGTTGCCGTGTGATGTGCATAGCCTAAGATTCGCCAAGGACAGCTCAGGAAGCTGCCATCATCCGGCTGCCCCTCGCCTGTCCCCGGTGCTGCTCACTGCATCCCCCCCTGCCCCAGGCAGCCTCTGATAGGTTGGATCTGTGTTAGGCTGTGGAGTTTTGTTTGTTTGTGCCTGTTCTGGCCATTTCATGGGAAGCAGTCCCAGAAATCGTCATGTCTGTGCCTGGAACTCTTTATTCCCAGGACAGCTCTGGGATCTGTTTCTGTGATGTACAACCACGCATCAAATCTTGTTTCAGTCGCTGGATGAATGGTACCCCTGGCCGGGCAGTTCACAGTCCACCGACAGGCATCTGGCTTGTGTCCAGCTGCGGGTGGCGTTCCTTGGACAAGCGCCTGGAGTTGCGCTGGGCGGTGGCATGCATTTAACTTTTCAAGAATCTCACACCCTACGTTCCAAAGCGGCAGCACCGCTTCCGGGCCACACCAACCTGTGCCAAGGCCATTCGGAGGCTCTCAAGTGTGGGTCCGTTCCCCTTGCCCTTTGTGCCTGGAGCGAACGTGCAAACAAATGTGTTCACTTGTCAGCTTCTCCCATTCCTGCTGCTGCCCATAGAACTCAACACCCAGCCAATCCGCCCAGCCAGCCCAGGCCCCGCCCAGGCCCCGCCCAGGCCCCGCCCAGGCCCCGCCCAGGCCCACCCAGGCCCCGCCCACCAAGCCTACTTGCTCGGGGGCGGGGCTAGGAGGCGGGGCCTGGAGGGTACGCTCCTCCTCCCCAAATCCACTGTGAAATTGGCGGCCGCCCCGAGGGGCGGAGCCGGAGGGTGCGTCCCAAGAGGGCGCACTTTTCTCCAGCCCCACCCCTCCGCGCCTGGCTCGGGGGCGGGGCCTGCGCCCTGGGGGCGGGGCCGGGAGCACGCAAGGCCCGGGCCCCGCCCGCCCCGCTGTGGCGCGCACCATGGTGGGGCTGTGGACGCTGCTGGGCCAGGCCAGCCGGCTGGGCGTTCGGGTCCGGCCTCGAGCCACCTGGCTCCTGGGGGCTGCCACCCACTGCGCCCCGGCGCCCCTGGCCCTGGCCCGACCTGGTCCAGACACCCGATTGCTTCGCACCGCTCCTGGGGACGGCGCGGGCCGCCAGGTAAGCCTCGGCTCCGGGTCCCAGTCCCGGTCCCGGTCCGCAGGCCCCCAGGTGCGGGCGCAGGGCGCGGGCGGGGCCGCCGCCGCCGCCGGGACGCTCGGCACCGACCACCCCCGGGGTCCCTGAGCCCCTAAAGCCCCACAAGCCAAGGAAGCGAGCCTCCGGATGGAGAGCCGGGGAAACTGCGGCCCGGGGGCGCGGGGGGCCGCCCGTGGCCGCCGATCCCGGCGGGGCGTCCCACGGTGGGGCCGGGCTCGTGTGAACTCGGCCGGCGGCCGCGGCCTTTGTTATCCTGCCGGGCCCGGGCCGCCGGGGCCGCCTGTCCAGCTGTGTACGATGTCTCTTTTTGGTCGCCGGCCACCGGGGCTGAGTGAAAGTGGCTTGTAAACTAGTTTTCATTCAGAATGGCAGCCAAGCGGGACTCCCACGGAAATGGAGGCTGGAGAGCCAAGGATCGTGACACTGTCCCACGCTGCGTCCGGGCCGGTCCTGCATGCCCCAGCCGCAGGGCCTTGACCTGCTTGCTGACCTATCGCAAGGCTGGGCGACCCCTCCCCCCATGACTGAGGCCGCTGCAGCCCAGCCCAGGGAGCCTGTCCCCGGACTTCCTGTGGCTTTTTGGAAGGGTCAGAGGAGCTGGACTCGGAGCCCTCTCCGTCTTTGCGCACCCAGGTGGGACTTCTCCGTAGTCTCTCTCTCCTCTTCTGCCTGGCAGGCAGGCACCACACAGTCTGGGGAAACTCTGTAAACTCGCAGGTTGCCATGTCTCCCAGCACCAGCCATGCTCAGGCGCCAGCCTCCCCTGGCCTCCCCTCTGCACTCATCTGGAGTGGCCTCTTATCTCGCTTCTCCCCAGCCTTGTCCCCAGCCCAGGCCTGGTCCGGACAGCAGTGTATGCTGTGGGATCAGTGGAGTCTCAGACTCCCTGGGTTCCTGTCTCCATTCACTATTTCTGTGACCTTGGTTGAATATTTCACTCTTCTGTGCCCGGGTTTCATCTGTAAGATGGGAAGTTAGTAGCTTGCACTTCCTAGAGTATGAACATAAAGGGAGATCATTCTTGGACCTGGTATCTGGGATTTCCTAAATTAACGTGGGTGACTGTTCTCGTCACCATAAACCTACACAGCCACAAGGCCCTGGGGTCCAGGAGCTGGCCTTGCCTCTGCTCTCTGAGAGATGAGCGGAACCCATGCTAACAAAAACCTCATCTCTCTGAGGAAGCACTTCCCTAGTCTGGAGCCAGTGAGGGGAGGATCTGGCTTTGGTCAGAATCTAGCAGCCCCTGCCTGCTGCTCCTGATGAGAATGGAACTCAGCTGTGAGCTCCCCGTATGCCAGGTTCTTACTTAAGGGCCTGAGACACGTGCCAGCCCCTGTCTTCAGCAAGGGGCTGGGACAGGGAGGGAAGGAGACGCACAGCACACAAGGACCTGCCCTCAATGCAGCCAAGGTCTGTACAGCAAGGCCACCAAGACAAAGGACTTGCTGTCCCCAGGACGCCAAGTGGCCTCTTCTCCCAGGCCTCCCCATACATGATCACCTTTGGCAGCCCTGGCATTTAAATTTTCTGTCCCTGGGCCCTTTCTTCCTGTGGATTGGGGCAGTTTTCTTCACTGCTCTGTCCCTACACCTGAAACAGCCTGGCACAGTGAAGACAGACACTGGAGGGGCCCAAGTCCAAGTGCTGACTGCTCATCTCTGAGTGATCCTTGCAAAGTTACTCTACCTCTCTGAGCTTTGAGGAGGCTCTTCTATTCGATGATCAATCTTGGAGTGGGGGAGATTGTTAGAATTAATATTTTCAGTATACTCAGAACATCACTAGGGACAAAGGCAGTGCAATGTTGTATTCATCACGTGGCAAATGAATGATAGTGCACCTCTCCCAAGAGGAGGATTGGCTTCCTCTTCCTTTCTTCCTCTGGTAGGGAATTTTGGATTTGCCAGAGATCGGGGTGTGAAAGCACTCAGGACCGGTGAACTTACAAGCACTTGGGGCAGTACCTAGAGGAAATGTGCGTGACAGAAGAGGGTCTGAGACTTCCACTGCTCACAAGTCGCACTCACAACTGCTTTGTTTAGCTTCTTTCGTCCCAAGAGGGGAAGACAAATGCATGGCTCCTGGTGCCCCTCACTTCCTTCAAGAGTGGCCATTCCGAGTGGGAGAGATTTCCCGGAGCACCCTCTCCATGTGCCTCCCCTACTCCCAGGCCTGGTACCTGGCTGGATTGGCAGCTGGGCTGAGCTGAGCTGAGCTGTGCTGAGGCTGGGCTCTTCCTGATAAGCAAACCCCGCCTTCTTCCCTGCAGATGGGACAACAGCCAGCGCTGATAGCTCAGCCCACAGACCCCTCCAGTCCAACTCACTGCCAGGAGGCCAAGGGCCGTAGAAATCCCCCGTCAAAACTCAGCTCTGCCCTACGCTTCCCTGGTCTCAGGCAGGCACCTAATCATGGCTGCCCAGGGCCCTTTTGTTCACCCTCTAGGTTGGCAGAAGGCCTTCTGGCCAAAACAGAAAAATGAAAAGGCAGCCAGACTTTGAACTACAGAGCACCAGCATCTGTGTCAAGACTGTAGTAGGAACAAACCCAGGACAACAGGCAGCTTCCTGCTCAGTGTGAAGCAGCGTGGCCCAGGCCTCACTGACCCCAAAGGCACAGTGGAGGGCCTTCTCGGAGGAGGTGACAGCTAGGAGAGCGTGCCAGCTAGGGAAGAACAGGGGTGGAGGGGCTTGCCTGGCCACTGGCTGAACACCTCCGTCACCTGGGGAACTGATGAGAAATCCCAGTGCCTAGGCCTCCCCAATGGTGGGGCTCACGGACCAATGGCGAAGCTCTCTGGACCTTTGCTTCCCAGTGGCCACACCCAGTGGCATCTGGGCCACACCAATGCATGGTGGTCACGATGTGCTGAGCCAGAGCTCCTTGCTCCTGGCCTGGCCGTGGCTCTCAGCAATCAGGTGGGCCTGGCTGAGTGGGCACGCATGCCGCTGAGGCCCGGCTATCATTTCCTCCACTCGGTCTCATGAGATCTCAGGCTAGCTGCGCCTCCCCCTTGCCTGCAGTGTGGCTTAGCTACAGCAGGCTCTAAAAATACAAGAAGGAGGGAGCCCTCCAGCTGCAGGACCCATAAGTAGCGCAGATGCGCGCCACCTGCCAAGCCCCGCTGACTATAGATAGAAGCATTTGGTTAAAAGCACTTACTTTCTACCCCAAGAGAGGGAGGGTTTTTTTTGTTGTTGCTCCTGTTCCTCCCAAGCATTCCAAGTCCAGTAGGTGACCCATAAATGTTACCAGCCATTACATATCATGAGTTATTTCTGTACAAATCCCAGTCAGTAATATGTCCAGGAACTGACTTTTCCTTTATCTGTCTCAAGTATAAGATACCATAGCAGCCGGGTGCTGGTTGGTCACACCTGTAATCCTAGCTACTCAGGAGGCTGAGACCTGAGAATCCCAGTTTAAAAACAGCCCAGGCAGGAAAGTCTGTGAGACTCTTAACTCCAAAAGGCTACCAGAAAACCAGAAGTGGTGCTGTGGCTCAAAGTAGTAGAGCAGTAGGCTTGAGCAGAAGAGCTCAGGAATAACACCCAGGCCCCAAGTTCGAGCCACACAACCCTCAAGGTTTACTGGTTGTTTTGCCCTCTCCTTTTCTGGTGCCTGGCATGGCGTGCTGTACCTGCAGGCTCAAATGGCCTGGGCACTAACTTTTATGACTTTGGACCAATTGATTGACCTCTCCAAGCCTGGGCTACTCCTCTGTGAAGTGAGGGAAATGACTATATCAGTCTGCCAATGTCACAAAGCTGTCAGGAAGATGGGAGGAAGAAATAAGATACATTGGAGTATTAGCTGGCTCAGCAAAAGTACTCAACAAAGTCACTGCTGCCCTCAAGAATGGAGCCCAGTTTTACGAACTCTTGTTGCTCTAACAGACACCACGCATACCTGTTATCTTGCAGTGTCGGAGGTCAAAAGTCCAAGCTGGTCTTGCTGAACTAGTCACGGGTTCAGCCAGTTCCTTCCGTGCTCCAGGGCAGAATCCACTTCCTGCCTCTTGCAGCTTCCAGAGGCCCCCTGCCCCTTGGCTGTGGTCCTTAGTCCCCAGCCAGCAGCACATCTTCAGACCTCTGCCCCTGTGCCAGCCATCACTCCTGCTTCTCAGAGGCTGACTTTCCCACCTCTCTTTCCTCTCCCTCGTAAGGATCCGTGTGGTTCCATTGGGCCCACCTGGATAATCTCCCCATCTCCAGAGTCTTCCCCAGAGCACAGCTGCAGAGTCCTGTGGTTGTGTAAGATGACATGCCCTGCGGTTCTGAAGGTGAAAACCTGGGCATCTTGGACACCTCCATTCTGCTGGCCATCCCTAGGGATTAGCCTTTGCCTGCACGTGTGGCTGAGTGGGGCTTGCTTAGTCTCAGTCACTAAGTAAAGACAGTAGTTGACCTCTCAGTGGGCAAGAATGCTTAACACTGCATTGGAATAAAACTGGGTGCTGACCACCAACCTAGAGTCTCCCCTTTGGTTCATGTACAGGATGCCAGCAGAATCACCCCAACCCCAGGCAAGGAGACCAGAGGCAGAGAGGAGAAAAAGCAGAGCAAGTCCCAGCAGCTGAAAAAGGTTTTCCAAGAGTATGGGGCTGTTGGCGTGTCGTTACACATCGGAATCTCATTGGTCTCCTTGGGCGTATTTTACATGGTTGTTTCCAGGTAAGATTTTGACAGTAATAATCACTCGGCTTTTTACTGTCATCAAAGATTCTGTGTAAAAGAGAATTTTGACTCTAAGGGCTTATTCATTATTCAGCTGCTTGCATCGCACTTGACAAGATGCTGTGAATCTTATAACCCAGTGGGTTTCATCCCCCATGACATTGTGTCCTTTCCTCTCTCCCTCCAGTGGTGTAGACATGTCTGCGATCCTGCTTAAGCTTGGATTTAGAGAGTCTCTGGTACAGTCCAAGATGGCGGCAGGCACAAGCACCTTTGTGGTGGCCTACGCGATCCACAAGCTGTTTGCCCCCGTGAGAATCAGCATCACGCTCGTCTCCGTGCCCTTCATTGTCAGATACTTTCGTAAAGTGGGACTTTTTAAACCTCCAGCTGCAAAACCTTGACAACCCAACGGCGGGTACCTCTTTCTTCTCAATCATAAAATTTGATTTGGGGGCTGTAGGGGTTAGGGGTGGGGGCAGGGAGCGGCTATGATCGTGTGGGAGTTTACCTTTGCTGGCAAAAATGAGGTTTTTGAATGCTTTTGTTTTATAAAATTTTGTTAATGCTAGTGATTACAGGGCTGTGTATGTAATCTAATTGTCAGCAAGTCGTGACAAATGAGCTACTAGCTTCAAACCATCCACAAAAATGACCCTTCTAGTGGGGAGTAGGGAGAGGGAGGTGTCTTCAAAAGGCCTAACTTCTTTGCTCACCTGCTTAAAAAGCAACAGTTCAGCTGCAATGTAAAATTCTCCCTTTGATTCAATTAGCAGTATTCTGCAAGACAGCTGCCAGGCAGACAAGGAACAAAGCAGGACCATCTGTAATCATGATCTGAGCTAGCATCAACCCTCAGTGTTCATAATTAATACTTGTTTTGGAGACTCCAAAATACATGCAAATGTGAACCTGAAAGAACTAGATGGTTCTTCTGAGATTTCATTAAAGTAGGCCAGGGTTGTTCGTAAAATAGAGAAGCACTGCTCATTAGCAGTGTTAAAAAAGATTGCCACTTGGAGCCAGGTGCCTGTGGTTCAAGTCTAATCCTAGCTACTCAAGAGGCTGAAATACAAGGATCATGGCTGGAAGCCAGCCCACACAGGAAATCCGTGTGACTCTTATCTCCAATTAACCACCAAAAAGCTGGAAGTGGAGCTGTGGCTCAAGTGGTAGAGCTCGAGCCTTGAGGAAAAAAAAACAACACAGGGACAGCACCCCAAACCCCGAGATCAAGCACCAAGACCAGCACAGAACCCACTTGGCTCTTTCCTCTTGTACACAAGGAATTTGGAGGTGTAGGAAGCTAAGGAAATCTTTAACTCTGCCTCAAACATCAGAGCTTATTTACTCCATCACTTCTTGCGTTTTTTTGGGCGGGGGTCTGGTCGTGGGGCCTGAACTCTGGGCCTGGGTGCTGTCCCTCAGCTCTTCAGCTCAAGGCAAGCGCTCTACCACTTGAGCCACAGCGCCACTTCCGGCTTTTCGCTTATGTGGCGCTGAGGAATCAAACCCAGGGCGTCAGGCATGCAAGGCAAGCGCTCTACCACTGAGCCAACTTCCCAGCCCACTGATTGCGTTTTTAAAACACGTGAAGTAATCAGTACTACTTCCAAAGGAAATACAGTATTGGTTGTACATGGAAAGTAACCATTTAGTAATTCACACTGGGAGGAGGGGAAATGGGTTGTATAATTAGTCTAGCAGGCCAGTTTTACTGTAGGAGGAAAAAGTGGGTTAAGGAGACTAGCACAGAAATTCAAGCCCTAGGCTGAGATGCTCTAAGCAATCAGGTCAAGAAGGAACCCAGCATCCCGGCTCTCCTCAGGGCTGTGCTGCTAGCAGGTGCCAGTTTCAAGTCTGCTCTGCTGGATGACTTGTGGGGGTTGTATTTCCATCAGGTCCATGGGTCCTTCTGAAAATGTTTACCATTGTAGCAGTAAGAATACTCATCCTGACAGCACAAGTTTTACTGAGCTCTGGCTATTGACAGTTCCCTAGCCTCCAACTCAAGATTTTCCTGCTTCAGCCTCCCAAGTGTAGGATTACAAGAATTTGCCACCACACCAGGCATTTTCTAGCTCTGAAAGCAGTCATTTAGTGATTGCAACTGTAGCTTCCCAGTACTGCAAGGACTGGACTGCCTTTGGGATTGATTCCCAAGGTCATCTCATCTCCACAGCTGTAATTCCCAGTGGGGTTCGGAAGAGCCTTCCATCTGGCCTCACTTCCCCCACCCCCACAACCTGGCCAAAGTCTCCCTCAGAACCCCTGGTAAGGCCTCTGCAAAATGTCAGAAAGGGTAAGCAATAAGATGCATACCACATCACCATGCCAGTCTTGAGCCCCAGCCCACCCCACTCCCGTGGTCAGTAGCCAAAATGGAACAAAGTGGAGGGGATGTGGTCAAGGATCAGGGAACCGAAGCCTTATGTGACTCACCAGCAAGATGCGGACTGCTTGTACTTAGTTTTTCATGGAACTAGAGGAATTAAACATATATTTTAAACATGTAAGCCATTACCTGCCTTTAGTTTTTTAATCTGACAATGTGAGCAAATAAATGCTTTGTATAAGTTTGTGACTTTTCCTTTCTCTCCCAGCAAGCCGCGGTTGCTGGTCATGAATGGTGCCTGACTAGGTGCTGGGGAGCTGTGCTGCCTTGAGTTTCTGCCCCTGTGGGAGTCAGCCTGGGGAGCATCCTATGTGTAGCCAGTGTGGTCACGTGATACCGATTATGACTGGTTCAGCACAAGCCTGGGAACCAAGCTGGACACCGATGGCTCACATCTGTAATCTCAGGAGGCTGAGATCCTGGGTTCAAAGCTGATTTGAGAAACTATCTTCAACTAACCAAGAAAAAGCCTGCAGTTGAGGTGAGGCTCAGGTGGCAGTACACCAACCTTGAGGGGAAAAAAAAAGTAAGGAACACCACCTGCACTGGTATAGGCATGCCTGTACATGCATGCACACAGACTGGAAACCACAGTTCACTTGCACCCAGCAGATATAGCTGACCTTTGAGGTTTTATTGTTAGGTTTTCAAGGTCAACTCTTTTGTCACTTAGATATAAAAGTTTTTTACATCTAGTTAAACTGAGTCAGCCAGGAAAGCCCATCTCTCTCTACTAACTTTACACATTAGGACAAGCCGAGCAGAGCAGAGCAGGGCCAGACTGCTCCAAGCTAACAGTGAAGTGGTAGAAATAATCAACCATTTACTTCAGGCAATGTGTGTATTTCATAACATGCATGCATGCATGCCATAACTTCAGGGTAATTGAAGAGGCCTTAATGAAAACAGACAGTTTTTTGGGTCCCAAGACAGATGTAGAGCACGTGTTCCATTCACCATGGTTAAGGAGGATCAGAAACCCAGACAGGTTGAGCAGGCCAAGGGGCGCAGGCCGCGGAAGGGAACATCAAAGTCCACACACAAATCTTTATTTTAACATTTAAAAGAACGAACCACATACACATTCCAACAGCTTTCCCAGGCGGGGCCATCCAATAAGTTACACACACGCTCAGGCACTTCAAGGCCACTGGACAGCTCCAGCTGGCTGAGCCAGGCAAAATGGTCACTTTCCTTGCCACTGGGCTGACAGAACTGGTGTCCCACTGAGGACATGTGGACATTGCGGGGATTGCCTCCAGATTATGAAACCAGTGAGAGCAGCCGGATCCTTGTGGCCTCCGAGTATCACATTTGTGGAGCCCTGCACGGCGGAGGTGGGGCTGCTCAGCTGGGTGAGCACCGTCCCGCAGCGCTCCAGCGCCGGCAGGCAGTCAACGGAAGATAATCTCGGTACATGTTCCAGAACGTTGTACGGCAGCCCTGGCTCTCCCCAGGTTCAGTGAGATTCTTTGCTAGTCGATTCTTTGCTCTTTTGGCAACTTGGTGGTTTTGACGAGTTGGCTATAATCCAGGGGTGTTCAAGTACTTCTCCTAGCGTTGGCCGCTGGCTTGCACTATGCTTCAGCAGTCGGGAAATGAGGTCCCTGGCTCCCTCTGTCACAAACTCAGGAAATGTGAATTCAACCTGGAATATAATTGATAAATGTCACAAAGCACAAGTTAGAGGCAGTAAATATTCATACCCAGGCCTAAGGTTCAGGCCAATCAGGGGCGAATCCTAACAGCCGTGCTAGGGCCTCCTCAGCTATGGCTTACCCGGGATATTCTTCGGTAGGTCTCTTGGTATGTGTGGGCCTCAAAGGGAGGCTTCCCGGTTAAAAATTCATAGCAGAGGACTCCAAGGCTCCAGAGATCCACCTTCTCGTCGTGCATGCGGCCTTCGATCATCTCCGGGGGCAAGTAATCCAGCGTGCCACACAGAGTGGTTCTCCTAGGGTATTAGCACAACAAGGCCCAATGGTCAGTCATGTGACATGAGTCCATGCTCCCCTGGTGACCCTGAGTGGTCATGTAGGTCCTACACTACAGGCAGGAAATGTGGAAGACCCACAGTTCGCCTCCAAATCTGATAGCTCCAAAATGCTCAATAGTCTAGACAGCAACTGCAATTATTTTATGTGAATTTCCATGTAGCCAGGCATGGTGATACACGCCTGTCATCTTAGCACACAGGCCAGAGTTCACGGACTACAGCACAAAAAAAAAAAACAGAAAAAAGCTGTCATTCCGTTTTTCTACATATCACTTGAAGTTGTACACTAAGTCCAAGTTAGGTGACACCACAATCAGAAAAACACACTTAAAACTGTAAATTAGCTGGGCACCAGTGGATCATACCTATACTCTTAGCTACTCAGGAGGGTGAGATCTGAGGATCAAGTTCAAAGCCAGCCTGGACAGGAAAAGTCCATGAGACTCATCTCCAATTAACTACCAAAAAGCCAGAGGCAGAGCCATGGCTCAAATCGGAGAACACTGGCCTTCAGCAGAAAAGCTCAGGGACAGTGCCCAGGCCCTGAGTTGAGGCCTCAGGACTGATGTGTATGTGTATGTGTGCATGAGTGTGTGTGCACACACACACACACAAGTATAGGCTGCTAGGTACTGGTGGCTCATGCCTGTAATCTAAAGAACAAGAAGCTGAGATCTGATGACTGTGGTTCAAAGCCAGCCCAGGCAGAAAAGTCTATGAGATTCTTCAATTAATCAGCAAAAGGCTAGTGTAGAGCAGTGGCTAGCTTTGAATTTTCAATACTGCCTTGGCCTCCCAAATGTTATTATGGTGTGAGCCATTAGGTCTTGATTAAAATAAACACCTATGAAATTTCTTGGACAACTAGAGAAATCAGAACATGGAACATGAAGTATGAACAGTGCCGTTAACCTTGGGGTCCTCACGGGTGATGGCGCAGGTCCTGTACTACAGGAGATGCGCATAGAGGCACTCAAGGACAAAGCTCAATGGTGCTGTATCTTACTCTCAGATGTGCACCAAGAAAGCAGACCCGGGCAAGATGGCAAAGTAATTCCAGCTTTGGGGTGGGGGTATTGGGTGATAGCTGCAATGGTTCAGCATTTCTACCGATACTGGTTTTGAAAGCAAAGGCTGGACGTAGCTGGCTGCGGCAGGCACTGAGCCAGTTAGTTGAGAATGGAAGGTGGAGGGTGTCAGTACTGTCACAGTGCTGTGGCCACACCAGCCTCAAGTAGCGCCTGGCACTCTTCATCCATGTTCACTGAGTAAGTGAGGGGTGCCCTGTAATGAAGGAGCCACCACTCCAGACTTCTAACCCACCTCTCATCCCACCGACTAGACCAGGGCTCTATCCACCACAGATAATCAGCCAACTATTCCATCACACCCCTTGGGCACTGGCCCTCGGGCACGGGGGAGTGGCCATCAGAACATCTGCACACCATCTCTTTGGAAAACACTGAGCAGGTAAAGCTCTTGGGTAAAACCTACAATTCAATGTTAGCTGTCTCACAGGGTGACACCCCTCCCACTGGTGACAACCAGTTAAAAAGAAACTCAAGGCATGGCTGGCAGAAATGGAGATCATCTCAACAAAGGGTCTGCTCCACACCACCTATTTCAGGCTCTGCAGCTTTTCTGAAGTGGCTTTATTTTTAGTTTTTCCTCTAAGCTGACACTTTAGAATGCCTGACCCACATGAAGCATCAGAGTGTCCACCAGCACCAACATGGACTTCCGAATTCCCCAGAACTGTGCTCTCAGCTCCTGACCGCTGTACGGCCCCTGGTATTTCTGCCATTATCTGTCCAGGACACATCTGGACTCCACCCCAGCATGAAGGTAGGGTCTCCCCCTACACACATCTGAGATATTCCTGCCACGCACTCGTCACCTCTGCAGGCTTTTTCATCCCCTTCATTAACATTAAGCATCTTTAACCCTAAGCCTTAGAATGCCAGATAGCTCAAAACTGTCACACAATAACATTTCCTAAAAGACAGTAGTTGATCATCCAGCTGAAATTATCCCAGCTAGCCACCCACTCCAACCATCAACTATTTCAGAGTAGATTCTAGACTTGATTCACGATTTACCCCCTACTGCACATCACATACCTGGAGGATGGCGCATGGACTGACCACCCGAAGTCTGCGATCTTAAGCTCTCCCGCTGATCCGAGCAGCAGGTTCTCTGGCTTGATGTCTCTATGAATAACCCTCTTTGAATGACAGTAGGACAGGGCATTCGCCAACTCCGTGATATACTATGGGAAAGAAAGGAGTAGAGAAGTCTGTGTTCTAGATTTTTATACATTTTCTGACATCTGAGTATTTTTAATACAACATAAATGGAATGTTTTCAGGTTTCAAAGCAAATATTGCAGATACACTAGGTAAGTCGGCAAACATCAATTGAATCGACTGGCAGGGGTTAGCAATAAGCTGTTCAGTGCTTAGTTGGTTCTTTGATAATACTGCTGATGTGACTTTGAGACAGACAGACAAATTCTGAGCTCTAACCACACTTCCACAAGGCCCAGCGGCAGCTAAGTGAAAGAATACTGTGGAAAAGACAGTATAAGTCAGGGGTTCAGATATGTAAACAACGCTTATGATCTTTTGACACTTTTCCAATGCCATCAATTCCCATTTAAAAAAAAATAAGATCATTCTACAACAAAAAAAGAGTTGTTAGAAGAAAAGTATCAGGGGAAAAATCAGAACACCTAGGCTGAGTTCACTGTCCTATTAAGCAGTGAGAGGACTGAATGTGGCCCTCAAACACTGTTGGAGGATGAATCCCAGAACAAGTGTTGTGAGAGGGTGTCTAAGGGAAAGGGTCTGGATCAGGGGAGCTCCACCCTCCGTAGTATTCTGCCCGTGTAACAGGGCTTGAGGCTTGAATTTGTGTTTGGTTCTTGCCCTTCTTGCCTTGCCATGTCATGATGAAGTGAGACCTTGGGCAGACATGAGCTCCTCTAACTCAGACCTCCCACCTCCACGCTGATCATCTGTTGTTTACATGTCACCCAGTCTGTTTTGTCATATTTAGCAGGTAAATTTGGTAAATGTTGAATTTGGGGATATACTCACTGGTTAATCAGATTAAAAGTATGCAAGCAAATTAGTCCTTTTTGTTTTTACTTTGGTTTCCTTAAATTACTATCTCCAGTCTCATATCAACTTAAGATCTAGCAAGTCAAGTCCTGAGTTTGTTTTAAAAAACAGAAGGGTGCAGTATATTCAAGGTATATATGCAGCTCGCAAAATGCTGAATATCCTAATTGGATATTACTTTACACTAAAAAGGCAGGTACAAATTAATGACTCATTTATTAGTGAAGACATGAATAGGAGAAATCAGATGTGGGCTACACTGGAACTCCCTTCACAATTTCTGCAGGTCTGATCTCACGCTAATATCTGACTCCCCCATGAATGGTACTTTGGAGTAAAAAAGAATTAGCCTGGACAATCAATGAAAACTTACAGTAGCAGTTCGCTGCTCATCAAACTTGGACAACTTCTGGAGTTCTCTGTAGACTGTTCCAAGGGGCGCATATTCAAGAATTAGGTACACTCTAGTGGCATCATGGAAATAGCCATATAGTCTGAGAATATTAGGATGCCTGCAAGGAACGGTGAAGCTGGGTAAGTTTCAGGGCTGCGGTGAGAGTATGCACTGACTACCTCCACACCCCCTTCAATGTGCTTCTCCCACAGGAAAAGCCAGAGCTACAAGCCCAACTCCATGTAGCACGACCTACATGGGAAACACAGGCACCACTGACATGCACTTCACGCGATTCTGGACCTCATATTTAAAAACTCTTATTTCTTCCCTTTACTCATGGGAGGGAAACTCGGCTGAACAGCAATTCTAAATATTAAGGGAAAAAAGAGCATGGCATTTACACAAGGGTGATGTGCAAACAGACACAGCAGACATAGGTGTGTGGCCTGGGGCAGAGCCTGCATAGGCCTAGCTGATGATGAGTGGCTCATAGGCAAAGTCTAAGGGTTACTATTTCTTTTACATCTGCTAGATTTTTTTTTTTTTTGCCAGTCCTAAGGCTTGAACTCAGGGCCTGGGCACTGTCCCTGAGCTTCTTTTGCTCAAGGCTAGCACTCTACCACTCGAGCCACAGCACCACTTCCAGCTTTTTCTGTATGTGGTGTTGAGGAATTGAACCCAGGGCTTCATGCATGCTAGGCAAGCCCTCTACCACTAAGCCACATGCCCAGCCCCTTTTTTATATCTGAAGAACATTAAAAGCAAAAATGAAAAAAAAAAATAAGACTCAAGGCAACTGGAGACTACTACCACTTAATTACCCACCAAAAGAAAAGGCTGTCCAGCTAAGTTACCTCATTAATAAAACATTCAAGTTCTCAAGGTGAGTTCCAACACATAGCACTGAAGTCGCCATGAATCTTTGGAAAATGACAAGTATAATTATTCTGTGTGGTACTATAAAGCAAGTCTTACATTTCTTTTCCTTTCTCCGGCTCTCTCTCTCTTTGTTTAGGTCCAACAGGACTCAAACGTAGTAACTGATGTGCTTTCACTCACTGGCTAGTGCCAACCCCTGGAAGCAAGCCCGCCCGCTCGTCCTCAGCAGTCTTGTGAACCCTCCTCTGAGTGTCAACCTGGAAGCTCACCGGAGGTGGGACTGTATCTCTACTTCTCGTCGGAGCTGGTGTTCCACTCCTGCCTTCTCCAGCTGAGCTTTAAATAACACTTTAAGAGCAAGGATAAACTTGCTTTGTTTTTCTCTTGCCAAATAAACATTACCAAACTTTCCTTTACCCAGTGGACGACCAATGTCAAAATCTTCCAAAGTCCACTGCCTCCTAGAAAAGATGTGTGCATGTTAGAATGTGAAGGACACAAACCTTTGCCAACAGTTTCTCACCAAGAAGGAAACACATCCTGTAAGTTCCAATTGGCAATTGGCCTCTACTGTACTTTCAGTGGGAACCAAGCCCATAGCCACTATTCATGAGTCACAGACATTGAGCCCCAACTTCACTAGCTGCCTTCAGCTTTGTGAGCTGGTAACACGGAACCATCTTGATTTCCAGAGTAGAAGCCATCAATGGGAAGGTCCCGGGCTGTCCTGTGCTCAGAACACAGACCTACTGATAGCTCTAAGACCATATGAAAGGGTAAGTTACTAGAGGAATGACCTCTTTCAAATCCACTCCCTTTTATCCGTGGAGCCACTGTCACTAGTGGAAGCAGGGTGGACTCAGACCAGCTGGGCGTGGGAATCAGTGGAATTCAATCCTGAGAAAGCTTCCTTCAGAAGCCAAAGCAGTAGTAGGAGGGTCATCCTGACCCTGCTCCTCTATGCTAAACTCTATTCAGAGATTAAGAGCAGGTATTTAGAAAGTGTCTGTAGTTAGAAAGTGCAGTAATTATGTTAGTTCTGCCAAAATACCTCTTAGTCACACATACCTGTATAGTTCTGTAACCTGACATTTTATTTTGGAAAAACTTGTCCTTGTAGCCAGGTATAATAGTGCATGCCTACAGTCCCAGCTACCTAGGAGCCTAAGGCAGGAAGATCACTTAAGCTTAGGCATTCTAGGTCAGCAACAGCAACATGAGATCCCAGCTCAAAATTCAAAAAAATTTAAGAATTCACTTTTGCACAAAAATAAACTAGAAGTATGTAAACTACATATACTGATTACTTCTGAGAATACACAGAAATTCATAAACTTTCTGTAACAAATGCATTCAGGCTTTTATCGGAGTTCCTGGTAAAATCACTTATAAAAGAGAGGGCTTTAAGATAACTGGAAGCATATCATATAACTGAAAACAAACATTTGTTTAAGAGCTCCTCAAATTTACAATGAACTAGTGTATTCCAGTAGAGTAATAGTACAGAACTTTGTGAATGAGAGCTTACTTTTTTGAGTCTTCATTTTTCTCTTTTGAGGCCACTTCCTTTTCAGGATTATTTCCTATATGGAATAAGTTAAAGTCCTGTTTTTAGAGTAACTACATAGAATAGGTTTTTTAGAAATCTGTGAGAAGATAAACTGGACGGTCCCCGAGACACTAACGATACATCAGGAATGAATGACTGATCTAGACTTCAGGTTTTCTTTCTGAACCCTGCCCTGGCTCCACTGCAGGAAGCCTTCAGCCTTCACAGCAGGGAAGGCAGCCAGCCCACCTCCCTGCAGTCTCCCTGAACTTCCAGGGAACAACTGCCAACTTCACACCCCATCACCTTCTCCACCACTGCATGGGTCAGCCACATCCACACCCTACAAAACCATGCAGGGCAAGCCACTGTCTTCCATGGGGGAAGAACAAAAACTACAAAATACCAAGACTTCAATAGACAGCTATTCAAGAGGGGAGCAAAATAACTTTTTTGGGGGTGGGGAGTGAATATTGGGGTTCAAATTCGGGGCCTCAAGTTTGCTAGGCAAGTGATCTAACCATTTGAGCCATGCCTTCAGCCTTGTTTTTCTTTATAGGATCTGGAAATGTTTCTGCCCAGACTGGCCTTGAACCATAACTCTTCTGCTCTCAGACTCCTAAGTAGCTAAAATGCAGGCATGAGCCACTGGCACCTGGTAAGACAGGGTCCTTGCTGTGCTCCCAGGCCAGCCTGAAACTTTTGATCCTCCTGCCTCACCTTTCCAAGTGCCAGAATTACAGGCATGCACCGCCAGGTCCAGCTTACTCTTTGATTAGCTGTGGAAACAAGGCAACTTGCACTTGTCTACCTCTGAGGCCTCTTATTCCTACAGCACATCTATGCCGCACTCAGGTATCACATTGTCAGTCTAAACTGCTCCCCCTCGTGTGTCTCTATCTCGGCTAACATCAACTACTGGCACTCAGGGTGCACAACCCCAGCATGAGACTGTAGATCTGAGAGTGCCACCAAATCTCCAAGGGAAAATGACATCAGGACAGTTATGCGTATGATTGTGTATGCCAGGGGACCAGAACTGTCACCAAGAAGCTGCTACTGGCACCATCGCACAGCCCTGGTTCACCCCATGTTCTCCGCCACCCTCTGGGCCTTGTTGCTGCCTTTCCCTCCCCACTGCAGGACACACTGTAGGGCCTGCCTACACGGGCCTTTCTGAGCTCACAATGCGGCATGAACTTCAGCCGCTGACCACTGAGCTCAGTCCTTTGAGTCTTCATTTCCCCTTTCATAGATTCAGTGAGGAAATCTGTGGTGGAGAGGAAGTTCTTTCTACCTTTCATCAGCATCCTGAACTCTTCCATCACCATCCTTCAGTAGTGATTTATTATTGTCCACTTTACCTAAGTACACTTTACCTGAGCCTATATCCTAAATGAGTTTTCAGTCTCTCCACTCTATGACTTTACTAAGCTAACTGCCTCTGAGTCTTAGCCACTTCCTCTGTGGAAGTGAGTCAATAGCTCTGCTGTCTTCACAAAGTGGTTTCCAGGACCGAATCAGGCACCACGGATGAAGGCATGGTCCCTCTCAAAGCCTGCTGCATTGGGGGAATTCATAGCTGGTGAAGGACAAATAGTAACTATCACCAACACTTTGCTCCACCCAGCTAAAGCACCGGACTGCAAGCATCTTTGATCTCAACGTCTCCTCCCCAACACAACCACAGACAGCACTGTTATTCTCCAGTTCACTCAGTATGTCTGGTGTAAGCTTTCTAAAAGGCCATTTGCAACCAGTCCCTTCTCTGCCCCATCTTCAGTAGTTCCTCGACGCCAGGAGATGAAGCTCCACCCCTTCCAGCAATGGCCATGGATGGCCTCACCACAATGTGGTCCCATTTCACTTCTCCCTACAAGGCCAAAACTCATAACTGTTCAGTTTCTCAAAGGACATGATAGATGCAGGTGACCGCCCCTTCTTCCCTGAGGGCAGGAATTGGGGTGCACTGCAGCACAAGCTGGTCCTGCAGAAAAAATTACTTCAACACAAACATCCCTTTTTCTCCTAATCCTGAACAGATATGAGGCAGAAGCTATGGCTCCAACAACTGTACAAGTCTATGTACTTGTTTTAGAAACAGACAAACGGGCTGGGAAGGTGGCTCAGTGGTAGAGCGCTTGCCTTGCATGCCTGAGGCCCTGGGTTCGATTCCTCAGCACCACATAAGCAAAAAGAAAAAAGCCAGAAGTGGCGCTGTGGCTCAAGTGGTAGAGCGCAAGCCTTGAGCTGAAGAGCTGAGTGACAGCGCCCAGGCCCCGAGTTCAGGCCCATGACCGGACCCATAAATAAAAAATAAATAAATAGAAACAAAGAAGGACCACTAAGTGAGTGCAAAGCCTGCTTACCAGAGGCTGATGGTGGAGGCTGCTCATTCTTCTGGGGGTTACTCACGGGCCGGGAGAGAGGCCGAGCAATGGCAGCTGACTGAGATTGCTTCTGCACAGGCTTCTGAGTGGAGACAAGCTTTTGTGCTTGTAAAGGAACTCGCTGGGAGGAATTTGAAGGACACAAGACTCGCTGAGCCTGGCCACTGCTTGCAGATGAGGGAAACTGCTGAGCCACTGGAACACGTTTTGGACCATCCCCCAGTGGAGCTGTAGCCTAGGATGGGATGGAAAATAAACTTTATGTTCTTCATGAAAGAAACGATGAATGTTATGAGAATTCTGGTTTCTTTTGTAGGAATATCTTTGAAAACACATGGAAAGGGAAAGCTATTTTAATAAGTATTTCACAAAGATGTAGACAGCAGATCAAAGGAATACTTGAATGACATCTGCAAGCCCAATTCTCTATCCTAAAATCATGCTCCATAGGCAAATATTCATTAACTGAACTTCCATCCAATGAGGGAGACACTGAACATTTAAGATTACTCAGCATATTGGGAATATACTCATCTGTTATTGATACTTTTAACATCAAACCAACGCAATTCCAACCAACTTTCTTTGATAATACATGTTTAGAAAAAAAGACCAAAAGAATTGTGTCAATGTCCAACATTTTATTCTCCAGTGACAAAGTCTGGAAGATGGTCTAAGTTGAAACATAGGCAAGATTTTCACAATAAGCTTATTTCAAAATGAGGGTGGGGAAACGTTAAACAGTCTATGCTGGGGTGAGCACCAACAGAAGGGAGAGAGCCAATGGAAGGGTGAATGTGGTCCAAGTCTTTCATAAGCATGTATGAAAATAGAACAATGAAACGTGCTGAAGACAAGGGAGGTGAGCTGAAACAGTGAAGGAGGAATGATTGCCCACAACCTACTGTGTACACGTCAGGAGAGGTCTCAGTGAAAACCCCTTATACAACAAAGCTATGCTTACAAAATTTTTATTTCAAAATTGAGGGGAGGGATGAGGGAACGATAAAAGGGCTGATACTCATCAAAATGCATTGTACTCATAAACTGACTTGTTGAATGGTAACCCCTTTGTACAACTAAAGATAATATAATTATAATTTTAAAAATGTTAAGCACACACACACACACACACACACACACAAACAAGAGTCTCATGGACATTCCAGCCCTCCATAAGACTCTTTCTTACCTCCAATTAACCACTAAAAAGCCAGAAGTGGAGCTGTGGCTCAAGTGGCAAAGTGTCACCCTTATGTGAAAAAGTTCAAGGACAGTGGCCAGATATAGTTCAAGCCCCAGTTATCAATGTAAAAGAGAAAGAGGAAAAATTCCAAATATCAGACCAATCACATGAACTTTATAGATGTAAATGGGACTATAGACAATTCAATTACCTTAAAAGGTCCCGAAATGCAGTTTTCTTTAGATGTGTCCATGGTGCCTGAAAAGAAAAACAACCTTTAATACAAACAAATCCACCTGCTTCTATTCGTTGCTATGCTACTTGCATCTCCCTGATGAAAAGATATCTGAGACTCACAGAATTCTGTGTTTTTCTTTTCTGATGTAGTAGATGCTGTGTGCATGCATGCAAGCATGTCTTCCCCTTCCCATCCACCCCCTCACATACTCTGCACTCCTGAACTGATGTGTATGTCCATTTGTCCCACAGTTGTAGGGGGCAGGACTGGGGATGTGGTAAATTCAGGCGCAGCAGCACTCACCCCCAAAGTGAGTTTGCCCAGTCACTTGGCTTTCTCATCCACAGGCTGATGACTGCTAAATGTTCAACTGCAACCCAGATTTCTCTCAGCTCAAAACTAACATATATCACTTTTTAAAGTCTTTCACTTAACATAATCCCCTTGGATCATTTACAAGAGTTCCTGAATGGTCACTTCACTTCCACCTTTGCTCAAAGAGATCCCTTCTCAACCATGAGCCAGCCCATTCTCAAACACTGAAAATGTGTTAATCCATGGTTTAATACCCCTACTGCTCACCAACTCAAGCAAAACAATTCGAACTCATCTGCAAGTCCCATAGACTATGGACCTTGAAACACCTGTGCCTTGATTTGTCTACCACATACCATCCAAATCAAGTCCCCTGCCACCAGGACTTTGGACTTCCTGTTTCCTCTGCCTATCAGGCTGTTGGGTAAGCTCATTCATTTTACTCAGGTCTTTGTTCAATCAATATTCCCTCCCAGGACCATCTCTCTCTCCCTTTTCTCCACAGCCCTTAACATCTTAAAATCTTATGTGCATCTGTTTATTGTCTGTCTCCAGAGACTCGGATATCCCTCCCAGAAATAGGGAGCAAAAGACCAAAACCCAAATTGGTGGTGCCATAGAATCCATTCTTGTGACTCCCAGAACCTAGAACAATGCCTAGTACATAACAGGACTCAGATAGTTTGGAAATGAACCAAGCCATTGACAAAGGAAACCAGTTAATATTATATCAATTAATATTATAGGGAGGCAGGCAGAAACACCTATCAAGTAAGTTGAACAAGCATCAAGAAAGCAGAAGAAATCAGGCTACCCAACTGCTTTTTGAATATTAGAGCCCAGCCACACGGCATTCCCCACAATGTCTCATCCTTTTTACAAATTAGTAATCTTATAAAGACCCCAGTCTTTAAACGGCGGATTAGTACAAACAATTAAAAGGAAACCCACAAGTGGCTTGGCAAACATTTTTCCCCCACCAATGTTCTAATGCTTTCTTCACTTTCCCTAACAATTCCAAGTAGCGGAGACTACGAAGATCACAGTACTGGGACTTGAACTCAGGCTCGGGCGCTGTTCCCTCAGCCTTTCCGCTCCAGGTTGGCGCTCTACCACTTGAGCCACGCCTCCACTTCCGTGGAAAAGTTCTTCGAAATGGCGACGCTCCACCCGCCCTGTCTTAATAAATCAGATCTTGCGTTTGAACAACCCTGTTATGAGCACGCACTGGTGCGGAGTTACCAATCACCGGGGGCGCTCGTTAAGGACACCTGACCCCCCTCCCTACGAACTGGGATTTACCACCGTTCACAACCAGTTTCCTCCCGATCCCAGATCCTCCCGCTCCGGGGCCTGCGGCCCGGGCGGCCGGGGCCGGGGCCTGCGGCTCGGGCCCCACCACTCCCTCCGGCAGGCCGCACACCGCCGCCTCCCGGGCGATCTGCGCGCCTCCCCGCAGCCCCCGCCACCGCAGCCCGTCCCCCTCAGCGTCCGCTGTCTCCTCACCCCACGAGCCCGAGAACCCCAAGACCTCCACAGGCACCGAGAGGGTCACTGAAGGCGGAGCCCCGGCAGGAAGACCCCCGCCCCAGCTCCCCGCCACCGCCGGCGGTCTCCGCGGCACCCAACCGGGCGTC